TTGATGAAATGCGATCGATCTCACATGTTGTCTATCATGATAAACTGGGTCTGATCATGGTAATAATTGGTTGATGTCACACCAAATTTTCATAGTAGTATCAGTAGGTATTTTTAGTTCTCGGAGCACACGTTTTATCCATATCCTTTCACATATTCCGTGGATGAAATTCTGATTCTGCACTACTGCGAGAGACGATTGTTTTTTAGTACACTAAGTGACCAAGTTTCCCCAAACATATGTACAATAGCCAGATGTAGACCTTTTATCTATTTTTGAACCTGCTCAATCAACATCTGTAAAGACTTCAACTTCTCTAGTCACTTTCTTCTGGAAGAATAAGCCTTGTCCTGGTGTCTTTTTGAGCAGAATCTTGTATACTACTCTCATGTGTATCTCAGTCGGTTGGTTCATAAATTGGCTCACTGTACTAACTGCAAAGCTGATGTCTGGTATTGTGTGTGCCAGATATATGAGTTTCCCAATCAATTTTTGGTACCTCTCTCTATCAACAAGTTTGTCACAATCTTCAGAACCAAGTTTTATAGTAGATTCCATAGGTGTATCAACTAGCTTACAACCAAGCATCCTGTTTCCTTTAGGAGATCAAGTAAATATTTTTGTTGTGCTACAGAGATTTCTTTATTTGATCGTGCAACTTCTATGCCTAGGAAGTATTTGAGTGCTCTAAGGTCTTTGATCTTAAATTCTTTTGCCAGATATTCTTTCAGTCTCTGATCGCCTCACAGTGATCTCCTGTAATAATGATGTCATCAACATATACAATCAAAATAGACTTATTACTTAAATCACCGTGCTTGATGAAAAGAGTGTGGTCGGACTGACACTGCTCATACCCAACTTGCTTTACTATTCTTGTGAACTTCTCGAACCATGCTCTTAGTGATTGCTTGAATCCATAGAGTGATTTTTTAGGTCTGTACACCTTATGAGGGTTCTCAGATATTTCAAATTCTGGCGGAATATCCTTATAAACCCCTTCTTCTAAATCACCATTAAGAAATGCATTCTTCATATCTAGTTGAAATAAGAACCAGTCGAATTTGATGCAAGAGAAAACAGTATCCGTATCGTGGTATGTTTGGCAACAAGAGTAAAAGTCTCTTGATAATCTATCCCATATGACTGTAAATCCTTTTGCAATAAGGCGAGCTTTGTATCTGTTTATACTACCATTAGGATTATATTTGGTTGTAAAATCCCATTTACATCCTACCTGGTGCTTTCTTGGAGGCAGTTCAGTCAACTCCCATGTCTCATTCTTTTCAAGAGTTCTCATCTCTTCTTGAATAACTGCTCTCCATTCTGGTATTTGAAAGGCTTCATGAACAATTTTCGGTTCTGGAGAGCTTTTATCTAGTTTTCTCACAAATGCATGATATTCTAAAGATAAGTTGCCAAATGACATAATCTTGTATACGATGATTAGTGCAAGATCTAGTACCTTTCCTCAGTGCAACAGGCAGATCATCATCAGTAGTAGAGTTTGAAGCATTATTACCTGGTAAATCCTGGACAATTGAAAACAAGATTGAGTCATGACAGAGTTTGGTCTCTTCTGGTACTTTCCCTTTCTAAGCCTTGTTCCTCCTAGTGTAGACACGTAATTCATTTACTGCAGGAAATGTGTCTTTAGTTCCTATCACAGATTATAGTTTAGACTCATTTTGTATGGATAGTATCTGTGAAAGGCTTGAGTGGACTGGAATAGGTGAAGATATGATGGCATTCTAAAGGTGATATTCTTGAGTATTTTCTCCCCTCTGAATATCACTTTTGACATAAAATGTTTGATTTTCGAAAAAGATTACATCCATAGTATTGTAAAAACGACGAGTATCTGGAAAAAAATATTTATATCCTTTTTTATTGGAAGAATACCCAACAAAAATACACTTGAGAGCTTTAGGATCAAGTTTGCCCTATAGATAAGAATGAACATGAACATAGTCAGAGCACCCAAAGACTTTAAGTGGTAAAGAATGTATAATGTGAGAGTCTGAAAGAGACTGTGAAAGAAGTTCATAGAGTGTTTGAAACTGTAGTATACGGGAAGACATTCTGTTTATCAAATAGGGGGTAGTAAGTAAGGCTTCCCCCTAAAACTGTTTTGAAACATGTGAGGTGAACATAATGGATCGGGCAACTTCAAGGATGTGCCTGTTTTTCCTCTCGGTTACATTGTTTTGTTGAGGAGTATAGGCACAAGAATTTTGGTGAATTATCTCATTTTCTACAAAATAGTTTTTAAGTATTGACTCAAAATACTCACATGCATTATCGGATCTCAGTACTTGTATGGTAGTATCGAACTGGTTTTTGATCATGGTGTTGAATTTTTTGAAAATTGTACTTACTTCTGATTTTTCTTTCGTAAGGAACACCCAAGTGATTATAGTATGGTCATCAATAAAGGATATAAACTACTTATTTTTGGATATGTTAGTAATTCTGGAGAGATCCTAAACATCACTGTAAATTAATGAAAAAGGTTTTGAGAGTTTATATTTTAGACCAGAAAATGAACTTCGAATATGTTTAGAGAATTGGCAAACTTCGCATTAAAATGAAAGTGAATTTTTATTCGTGAATAATAAATAAAACATATTCTTAAATACAAGAAATTTGGATATCCTAGGCGAAAATGGTATAACATAATTTCATTGTCATTACTAGGGCTACTTGTAGAAACTGAATTAGTACATTCTGCTTTTTGAGTTTGTCCACTAGAGAGGGCAGCTCGAAGTAGGTAGATACTAAATTTCATCCTAACACTGGCAATCGTCTTCCCTGAGTCCAAGTCTTGAAATTCACACAACGTTGAACCAAATTTAGCAACACAGTTAAGTTCTCCAAATAGCTTACTTATTAATAGCAAGTTACAGTCCAAATTAGGTACAAAAATAACAGAACGTAGAGTCATCTTTGGTGATATAATAACAGACCTGATTCCAACCATTTTCGAGATAGACCCATCAGCAATTTTAATTGTAAAACATTTAGTGCACGGTCTGTAGTCTTGAAATAAAGAAGTATTACCAGTCATTTGATCGGATGTCTCGGAATCAACTATCTAGGTCTATCCATTTGTTGAGCAAGCTGTAAAGCTGGGATTATGAAAATTCTTACCTTTGTGAGCAATAGTCACATTAGCAGAACTCCTGCAGAATAATATTTGGAGCATCTCATGCTACTTAGGACTAAGAAGACACTTTTCCGCTGCTGTTGAGGGAGCTTCTTCACCGGCTACTGTCACCAAATTTTCCTGAAGCTCGGTCGCATTTTTTGGTCTTGAAGACTTTCAGAAAGCTGGCTTTCCATGGAGTACATCGTCACGCACATGGCCGAGCTTCTTACAATAATCACAGATGGGCCGACCTTTCTTACCTCGACTGTCCAGACGCGTCATGAGGGCAAACATATTCTCAGCTGTAGTCGTCGTGGTCTGTCCTTCTCCCATCATGACTTTCTTCTTACTCTCTTCTCGTCGAATCTTAGAAAAAACTTCACGAATATTGGACAGCGGCTTCAAGCCCAGTATTCGGCTGCGCATGTCATCGAGATA